TCAATTACGATGATGATCACGATCGAATTTCTGACAGAGGTTTGTGATGTGTTACCAGACTTGAACTACATTAAAAGAAACGTGTGGTAGTCTGTAATGAGAATCCATATTTCAATACCACGAACTGAGAAGGGTAACATCCATCCTTATGAGGGGTATTTGCTCTCACGTTAACCTTTATTAAAGCTTTTTACCAAACTTTTTTACTTTAAACCAATTAAGAGATGTTTCGTGAACGGGAATGGTCTGTCCATCCGTTTCTCAAATCGCAAACTTTATCTCGGAGATTACTCCAGGTAGAAAAAGCTCAACCGCACAATCGTGATGGTAACACCACGAAACATTTAATTGACACACAAAGATTGAAAACTCCGTAAATTGGAACCAAGCATTGCATGTGGCCAAAGCAACTGCTGTGTTGGACTGGCCAGACCACCATATCGGGATTGTCTCTTCCGTAGTCGATTCATGGGTGCGGCATCACGGCTTCATGGCGTGAACACGGTATCTGACGATTGTCGCCTATCATAGAAGCTTTTTGGTCAGAATCTCGTACACCATTCGGCGCCTGAAGTAAGGCATGTGCCTCTGATGAAAACACAACGTATCATTAAGTATTTGTGTTTTCTAAACGTCCATTTGTTGAAATACTTTGGAGCACGTTAATCTTAAGGGAACGATGTGAATGGCATAGAACCCTTAGCGTGTAAACAATTTCTTTCTAGCCTAAAAACAATCCAAGGCTACAACAGGATTTTAACCCATGACCACCGCGATACCGGTGCGTTGCTATGCCAACTGAGCTATGAAGAGTTGACACGTTAACAGCCGGGTAACAGTAGTTTCTATGTAGGTACCATACATATGCCGTAGATAACAGAGTGAATATATGAGACATATATGAAACGTGGCAGAAACATATAATGAATGAAACTTTTCAGTAAGAAAAGTAATAGCTTAAAAATTGCTAACGTACTCAGCTGACAAAACTTCACGTTTCTCCTGCGGTTCATATGTGTGCCTTTCATAAGGTCACAAAGTAAACACAAAAAGTTGCATGGAATGTTGATAAGCGAAATGATTCGAAATCATACCTGATCAAAATCGAACTTCGCCCTCCTTGATAAATACTCTGCGTACTGAATAACAGAAGAGAAGGAGAATTCTCAATTGCCGGTGAAGTGATATAATTAAACTTTGTATATCATAAATTCATAACGAGTTCCTCTCCTGATATAAAATTTACATGTAAATATAACAGTAACCATACAACCAATCACGGCGCCAGAAAATGCTGTCCTAAGCCAATCAGAACTTAAGTCACAAAATCATTTAAGCGCGGAAAAGCGCGGGAAAACGTAGCTGATGGAAAGCATGGGAAAATATAACTAATCGAAAGCGCGGGAAATGTAACTAATTAAAAGCGCGGGAAATGTAACTGACTGAAAGCGCAAAAGAAACGTCAATGGTCGAAAGCGCGGGAAAATGTAACTGATGGAAAGCGCGAGATAACATAACTAAAACAAAACACGGAAAAAAGTTTCTGGCGACAGGCGGGAGGAGTGGGAATATCCTTTTGGAAAACCGCATGACCAAAGTAAGTCGTACCTTGCAAGCGAAAACTCCGCAATCGCACCCGTTCAGTTGCTCCGGTATATCCTATAGGACATGAGAAGGAAGGAAGACATAAGGGTTAAGAGCTCAACCATGATTGTATTAAAACAGACGGGCAAACAAAGACAAAAGCAAATAAAATATGGCAGAGTACTTTTGGAGACGCTGTCTTCCAGCCCGTCATGTCAAACGACACTTTCTTCTTGTCCATAGACTCACTGTTTAGGTAATCTCTGCGAAAAACACAAATGTTCGGCCTAAAAACATTTCTAAACACTCATTTTCCAGACGTGCGGCATGAAACTATCGAGTTATCATGTGCTTATACAGTGTTTAGCAAGCTCCCGCGTGCATCCATAACTTGATGGTCGCACCCACGTCAGACGAAGCGTTTCCCATTCCTTTTATGACAGCATCAGGAGAAAATAATATTTTCATTGACACACGCCTGCAATAAACATTCCACAATTTCCTGTGGGACGCCAGCCTAGCGCGTCAGATTTTCTCAAGGGAGGATTTGTCAAATAGAGCTTTCACAACATAAGAGTCTAGAACAAGACGGAAAATCTCACCTTAGTGCTGACAAGCACTGTGGGTTGGAGCCTTTCAGTGAGTCGTAGTATGAAATGCATTTTTTGTTGAAATCGATCGCCTGAGGTGGAAAGAGATCAAACGATAAGCTATCGGCGTAGATAGAAACTAGTCAGCTCCATTCTGAAACAATGAAGCCTCGTTAAACCACAG